TGAGTTTCAAACTTAATCATTGGTGATTGAATCATCATACCAGATTTTGTCGAGAGAACCTTGATCACCACAAATTTTATAAACATCGATTTAATCAATACTACTGCATGATCGAGGGAATTTATCGGATCGAACTGTCGGATCCGATCGGTTTCAACACTGCGAGTCCTAATTTAGTCAAATTAGCATTATGTCATTTTAGTCAACGTTGTTAAGAGAAAAAGTGTTCGGTAGTATTAGGAAATATAAATCGCTCTCGAAACATGTTCATTTATCAGTCTATTATTCTATTCGGACAACTGTAATTTGTGCTATTCTCTAAAAAAAAATCTCTTTTCTCTTATGTCGACTTTCTCAGTGATCAGTAGATGTTGTAATCAGAGACCGAACACGAACTAGATGATCGTAAATTCTCTCATTTCTTTCAAATGGTTCATTAGCTGAGGACTTGTCAAAATAGTTGGTTAATAACCTCCACAATACCGTTTGCTTCAATCAGTTCTATTCATCTAGAAAAAAATCCTGTTGGATTTGATCTTTCGTTGTAATAAATAAATTAGATTTCTAAATAAAAACAAAGCTTGATTATGATAATACTATAATACAAGTAAGTTGACGTTTTCTTTTTTGTGAAATATATAGAAGCAACTAACCTTTTGGTGGTCCAGTGCTTCCACTAGTGTACATAATAACAGCGATATCTTCTTTCTTCGGTCGTTTTTTTAAAATTTCTTCATCTAGATTAATTAACAAAAAAAGATGAACGAAAAATTAGAAAATAAACGATTAACATACCAATATTTACATTTTTCCCCTGTTCTTCAAATTTAGCTAATGGAATAAATTCAATATTATTTTTCTCTGGTGGTGATTTCGCTGCTTCTTGTTTAGCACGAGCAGGAAAATAAATAATGTGACGAACTTTATGTGTTTGATCTAAGACTTTCTAAATAAACAAACATATAATATTTTTTTATTTTGGAAAAGTTATTTTTACTTCAAGTTTAGGAAAAAGTTCTTGTGAAGTAATAATAGTTTGAACTTTAGTTTCATTAATTCCATGTTTAACTCCTTCTTCATCTAAAGTTGGTATAATTGTAACAACAGTTAAACTATGTCGAAATGCAGCAAATGCACTTAATAACCATTCAGGACGTGTTTCAGAAAAAAGTAAAACTTTATCACCTGGTTTAACACCAATGGACAATAAACCACGGCCAATTGCATCAATACGTGAACAAGCTTCTCGATATGTTGTAAATTTATATTCACCAAATGAAAACTAGAATTTCTTTAAAATAGAATAATTAAAATTAAAATAAAAGTTAAAATAACCTTTTTGAAAATTTTTCCATTTGGTTGTTTTTCCTCGTTGACATCAATAATTTCTCTGACGCCCATTGTTTCTTTGTCTGTATAACGATGTAAACATAAATCAGGAATATCAGCTAGAGTTTTAACCGCCACTTCTGGTTGATTTTGAAGTTCATCAAGTACTTCCGTAGCTCTATATGGTGATGACGGATCTGAATCATTGGTTAATTTTGCTCGAATTCTTGTTTGCTTTTCTTTTTTCTCGTCATGTTTTCCGAATGTAATTGTATAATAAAAAAATCCTGGTAATTGTATAAATAGAAGTGTAATTAAACATTCAAATAATGCTTTTATTATTCTTCCGAAAAATCTCTTAAATATAAAGTCTGTTATTGATCTTAATGCACGAATAAAAATATTCGCAGACATCTAAAATTAGTACATTTATTTTTCTAAATGATAATGTTTAAGCATGCGTGAGCGAATCTCAAAAGATTCTGTCGGATTTAGTTTATCAGAAAAAAACGAACTAGAGTGAACCCAACACGTGCGTCATAACGTGTGAAAGACTAAAGAACGAAAAGAAAAAAAAAGAGAATATCGTATATCTTTCCACAGCATACCAATGATTCAAAGAACAGAATGAAAGAAAAAGAGTCCGACAAAAGTAAGTTGTCTGTTTGCTTGCTTGTGCATTCAGGTCGTCAGAAGTAAACCAAACTCGAGCTCATCGTCCATGGTTTACCCACTTCAATTATAATATAAAAGAATTTTAAACAGATGTTCCCTATAATCGAACTGGTTTTTTTGAAGTTGGGGTGGGTGTGGGCACCGTTTAAGGAATTCTAACGAATTAAGGGAAAACATGGACGCCATTATAGAGGCTCAAGAAACGAAATAAGATTGGTTTATTGATGTTACATATAGAAATTGTTTTATTGAGTGATGATTCATAGAAAAACAGTCAAAGTATCGCTGTTGGAAAACGGATACGAAAATGAAACTCCGAAGAGAATCTGAAACTGAAAGTCCGATTATTTTTACTTCGTCCGAAGAAATTTAAGAAAAAAATTCTGAACAACGTACGAAAACTCGCATCAATTGTGAAATTGTTCTAACTATACTTGAAAAAAAAGGGATTTTGTAGTAATTTTTTTGTACAGTTCAGTTCGTTTTCAATTCTGACTTTTCTTTCCATGAATAGAAGCTTGTTGAGAAGTGATTTTTTCTTTTTTGTATAATGGACAGCGTTTTAAATTTTCTAGCGAGACTTTAATCTCGTAAGAGTATTATGCTTATCGAACGCGTAAATTTTTCGGGAGCAACGGCAATTAAAGAAGTAAATGAAAAATGAAAAAAGGGTTTACGAAAAATCTAAAATACAGAAGCAATCTAAGAATAAGTAAAGTTATTGTGCACTGAAAAATATTTTTCTGTACTTGGCTCTCTGAAGGAAGATCAGAATAAATATTTGTGGAAGCGGATATCAAAACTGTTGCTACTGACAATGAATTTCTGTTTTATTTTATGTGTGATTTAAATTACAGCAGATGATGAATTATTCTTTAATAATGTTCTTGATGTTTGTTTTTTTATTTTGAAAGGAACACACAATCTGACTCTATTAGTTGTCATTCGTACATTCCACAAGCAAAGTTGGGTGTGGGTGTGGGTGCGGGTGTGGCGGGTGTGGGTGTGGGTTCGCTTCCTGTTCTTCTACTCATCAACAACTATACCCACCCCACCCACACCCACACCCACACCCACACCCACACCCACACCCACACCCACACTCACACCCACA